CGCTGAATGAAAGTACGTTTACTTCTAATGAAAACGTAATGTACTAGGTACGATTATGAAAAATTTCTTGATAACAATTGTGCAACTTTGTCCTCTCGTGATTCAATTGTTCACCTGAAAATGAGATCGACTGTAATATATTCTTACATAATAATGGCTTTTTTAAGTAGCACCCCTCTCCTGTTCAATGTACAACGAAAAATTATTAATTGAGCTCGATGATGATGGAAATCGTTTGTCTTCAGATGGCCTAACAAGCCAATTCTCTCAGTCTCATATTGGTTTTAGATGGTTGTGAGTGGTTTCAGGTGAAGCTAATTGTTTTATTATTTACCTATAATATAAATTTTATCTTTTACATAATTACAGTAAAACCCAATTAAACTAAATATTTTGAATAAGGTACTTGCAAGGATGTTAATACAAAAGGATTATATCATAGAATTGATTCCTGATATTTTCAAATATGTTCTTCAAGGCAGTAAATGACAAGATAGTCAATGGCCAGGGCACTTTAGATTTACTCATTCATATATATATATATATGTTTAGTATAATTTCAGAGCTGAGGAAAGAGTTTCCAGCAATCTGATTGGTTGAGTAGTTCCTTATATGACACTACATAAACCGCTCCACGCGGTTTATGTAAAATGTTAAAATAAAATGTTAATAAATGTTACTAAAATGTTATGATTTTAAAAATTTCTCTGTTGTTCAGCTCTGAAATGATACTAAAACAATTTTTCGTCCCAGGTTCGGTGAATATCATCGAATAATTGTCAAATATAGGCATGTAGATATACATTTCCCCCTCTCTCACTCTCTCTCTCTACCTTGCTCTCTCTGTCAATTTGTTTATTTCTTGATTATTTTGGCATATACATTATGCAAAGTAGGAACAAATAAAAATCAATTTGAAAAGATGTTTGACTTACAACAATTTACAAATGTTGGTAATATTACAGTTGAATATGAGAGGAGCATTTCTCAAGTTTTATAGCAAGATAAACAAACTTTGCAATTATTTGATGTCAGTGTTTAAACTGTACCATACAAATGAGTAGAGATATATCAAGAAATACTATTAAGGACTCAAGATCTTCAAGAGGCTCAGAACTTCAATGTTTGGGATTACATGCATAGACCTCTCCTCCTAGACTTTGCAAATTCAAAAAGGCAACATACCACTAATAGGGGTGTCATTGGCATAGTAGATATTACAGTGATAATAACAGTCAAGTTTTTGAATTTAATTATATTGTGGTAGTCTTAATATGCTCACCTACCTCAAAGCAATGTACAATTTATGGAAAACTGAATTAGAGTTAAAGAAAATCTTGAGGGAAGACATGGTGTCACTACTTGAGCAAATTGTAAAAGCTAAGCAAACATGTCCTTAGGATTGAGTTGACTTGTATAATAAAACTTTACTTTTTTCCAATACTTTTTTGGCAACTGTACAATGTCATCTAACTGTTATGAGTCATGCCAATACAATAAATTAATTAGACAGAATGTTTTCCCAATTGCTGATTTAGTATAGGTTTTATCATGATCCTTTTGAAATTAGAAACTAGCTGTGACTGGGTATTGTCAGCGACAGGTAGTTCAAAGTTTTCTTGTCTGCGAAATTTGTAAACCAGTTGGAATTTTACACTTCTTTGTCTTTTCTTTTTTTTTTCAATGATCTGAAACATTACTTTTTTTCTGATCAGCACTGAATAAACAATCACAATGCAAAATGTAACAGTGGTTCCAGAGTGCTTGATGCACAGAAGAGGACAGAAAAGAAACCAGTGAGGAAACAAAGTGGGTTTAATGCTTTCACTAGGGAGTTCCTACAGAAAGGTAATCACAGATATAAACTACATATTTAGCTAAAATTGGACAAGTTCCTCCACTTTTCTCCAATGGTATGGAAGACCTCTGCTCTTCCC